AAAAACTTGTGAATGCACTGTAAGCAAAAACTTGTGAATGCACTGTAAGCAAAAACTTGTGAATGTAGCAGGAAGTTTGTTTCATTCAGACTCTTTCACAAAGCGAAGGATTTGGTCAATTTGGCTCTTTCCATATCTCGATAGGACTCTGTGTTTCCTGGGTTCATGCAGAATATCTTCACTAGTGCTGTAAGCACATCTTGGTTATCACAAGAACACATGTTGGCAGCTAGCAGAGCCGTGAAATGGAGCCCTGAGAACGAGGTGTTATTTTCATAGTTAGTGCAGCTTTTCTGCCGGTTAGTCTCAAGCAACTACTGTGACATGTACCGGTACATGGAATCGACCCTTGCACTGCCCCAATTCCGTAATCTAGGTCATTCCAACTGCTGCCGGAGCTTGTCAAGTTCTCAATCAAACCAGCAGCGCGCTCTCTCAGGGTGACGCCTCGTTTGCCACTTCACAAGGCCCGATCGATACCCAAGGCAGGCCCTGATTACCTCTTGGCCTAGCTCTCCTTGTCCATCGACCCGCTAGCAGTTTGTGGTCATTAGGGCTGACAGTGTACGCTGTATGGATGCCCAATCAATATCCCCATTGTTGGCTCCTCGTGGAAATACACAGCTCTGACTCGAATCAGATACAAATGAGACTGTTATTAGTGAAGCCATTATGTAATAAATATATACATGTACACGATGTGTATGGACAGGTGTCTGTGTGTACGAACAAAGCCGTGCTGCCTTTTATCATACATATATTTAATTCACTAGAAGAAAACCGAATTAATTCTCAAAGCTGTTATCCTGTTCTCGCAAGCTGTTCATTGGCTTTGTGGAGGGCACTGTGCCTGCTCCCTGTTGTAAGGAATTAATTTTTGGAGGACATAGAGTTGAAAAACTGTTTTACCAGCTTTTTTAAATTGTCTCTAAAGGGGAAGCTTGTGAAAAACACCACAAATTAAGAAGACTAATAGACAGATTTCTGTTTCTAATCATTTTGTGTATTACAGTGGGTCTTGTTATTCTTTCATTTTTGGC